CTATTTTTGTTTTTATCTGGCTCTTCTTATTGATGCATGATATTTTTATATGGCTTTTAACCTTTGATTTAACCTTTGGTGTTATTAACTGTACATTGCTCTGTGAGTGAGATGGCCAGTATCTAAATTTGAAATGGCTCCTTGTCCTCACACTGAAAATGCATACAATTCTCACTGGTTTTCTCTCTTTTTATTTATTGCCATCATTTTATATCACACTTCCCAGAATACAAATACTATTAAGTATAATCAACAATCCTAATGAAAAGCCCAGCAAATTATATCTTTCAAAACACAAATGAACACACTGCCTTTCTTTCTACAGAGCCATTTGGTGATAAAAGCTCTTTGGGAGGAGAGGGAGTTGTCTTCACTCATGTTCTCCCATCCCTTTTCTTTATTCTGTTATGAAAAAGGTTGCCAACTAATATGTTTGACATTTTGAAGTACTGGCCTTTACCGTTGAATCCCTGTGGGTATATTCTCCCATAATAGAAACATTGTTTTTTAAAGACAAAAAAAACTAAAAGCAAAATTCCTCTGAAGATGCCTTTTGGTCTGACATAAAGTTGCTTCAAAGACAAATATCTGAAGATGTACCTTTTCCCATAATTTATAATGTCATCATGAGCATAAAGCCAAAGAAATCCCATTTCCTTCAGGGAAATTCCAACTGAATAGCAAAATATTTTTTCTGCACAAAGTCCTCTACCCAGAGGTGATATCCTTCTGACCACTTCTGGAGAACCGGTAGCAGAAATTTTGAGTAGTTTGGAATACCACCTCTGACTGGCCCCACCCCCATCTATTCTCTGCCTCCCGAGTCCCAGCTGATCGGCTGGGTCTTCTTTTGTTGCCCTGCACAGGAGAATGGAGCTGGAAAGCAGGTTAGTGGGGTGTGGAAAGAATGGGGATTTTACAATATCCTTCCCCTGGAGTGGAGATTTTGCAGTATCCTACCCCTGCCACACCCACCAAGCCACGCCCACCAAGCCTGCCCAGAGAACCGGTAATAAAAATTTTTTGAATCCCACCACTGCCTCTACCAAAGATGCTAACTGTCTAGTAACAGGGAAAGCGTTCTTTTTCCACCCAATTTAATGCCAGCCAATTGCTATACATCACATGTAATAACTTGGGTTGGAGGACTGGGGAATAGAGAGAGGATCTTTGCTGCTCTACCTCAGGCTGCATTGTCTTATTCTTCTTAAATAAGGGACCCAAGGAACAATTAGGGACAAGGAACCAGCAGCCTTCAGATGCTGCAGGATAACTATTATATACCCTGTCTACAGTGACCAGATTTGGCTGGTTCTACTAGTGTATTTCTTTAGTATGTTTTTGAATTGTTGTTGTTGGTCTTGTGATTCATTTTGTTTTGTTTTCATTGCTTTTCATGCTGAATTTGATAATTAGTGATATGTTTGCTTGATTCAACTGTAAAAGGTATCTTCTGATTAAGAAAGTGTGGGTAGAAGGATCTATGTAAGCAATTAATGGGACCAGGTCTCAATAGAAATCTTACAATTAATCCCCATTATCGCCTGATCGTGGCTGCTCCTGATCATGGCTTGCTGTTGTTAGAGAAGCAAGAACAGAAGAGCTCCTTAATTCCATCTCATCACTACTGTCCAAGTCTTCTCCTTATTCTCTTACTATGGCCATATCATGCATGTATGTCTAAACTGGATAGATGTGAGTATTATTATGTATTGAATAGCATAAATATATTTGGAATAAAACTGGGCTTTGCCATATTGTGCAAAATGCACTAAAATTGACAGATATGCTTATGGTTATGACAAATGCTAGTAAGATACTGTAGTTTATTCTATCTTACTGAAATACATTATGTGAAAGTGTCATGTAATAAGTGGAGGACAAACAGATGTGATAAAACAGTGATAAGAGTTCATGTCTGAGCTTTAACTTTTGTGATAAGAGCAGCAAAATGCCAATTCTTCTTTGCATTTATCCACTACTCCCAACTGGTAGATTTACTTAGACTCTTTTTGTGAAAAATGGATATGATAAAATACCTGCATGCATGCTGGATTATATTTATGATTTCTTGGTAGATAAAATTGCTTGCATATACTCCGATTTGGGTGCCAGCTGGATGGAGCCCAGCAAGGTGAACAAGGCAGAGCCTTATGCTGCTTTCTGGGTTTATTTATTTTATTGATTTATTGATTAAATTTATATGCAACCCATCTTATTGTCAAGCAACTCTAGTTGGCTTACAAGCATCATAAAAATAGAAGTACAAACATTAAATATTAAGTAAACAAATTAAATAGGCTAAAACCAGAATGTTGTAGGGTGGAGGTAGGATCTTCTATATATGAGTTTCTTTTGATATGTTTCTTTTGAGTTTATTACATTCAAAGAAATAAATACAGTTTTCTTTTAGATGAATTGTGCCACTTGCAAGTTGGATCTTTAAACTTGCTAGCTCCTACAAGCAGCCCAATAGGATGTGAGTAATTGGATTAGGAAGATTGTCAAATATGAAAATGGATGGCACTTGCTTTCAAGTATGTGGTTGGATGAAGTCCTCTTAGGAGCCAACATTTTTGATAACTGGAGGTTGCTTTCTCTCTCTAACACATATACAGTAGATGCAAAAACACAGAGAGTCCATTTGGAGAAGAAGGTGGTGGTAGCTTTCCTTCAGAGATGTATTTGAATTGCTATCAATCAGTAATCAGACCTGGTCAAAGAACCTAAACAGCATTGTTGCATGGCATTGTTGCTTTGTCAGGACCTCATTGAGGGAAAGGTTTTTTCTTTTCTTTTCCATAAGTATGGGGATTGGAGTTTGTAGGTACAGTTCTTCAATGATTCTGCATCTTCCTGAATGAGCAGTTCTAGTTTGTTATCACAGTATTTGCTGCTATAGTTGCTCCAATGGGAGGTAAGGCAAGGTTCTCCCCATGTGGTATTTAACATGTATATGAAGTTTCTAAGTAGAGACACTCACCAGTTTGGGATGAGGAGCCATCAGGCTTCTGGTGGTATAATTTGTCATCTTAAGCTAAGCTGGGAATGACACTAAATGTCTGAACTGATATCTGCATAGAGCAAAATTAATTTAGATTAAATCCGAACTTTCTGAACATCCAAGAACTTTGGTCCTTGGATGGCCTCCTGCTCCTTCTGAAGGAAATGGTTCATGGTCTAAGAGTCCTCTTGGGCTTATACAGCTTCAGCATCAGGGACAGGCCATGGCTAGAGGTCCTTTGTCCAGTGTTATCTAGTGCTCTACTTGCAACCGTACCTACGCCAGGATTCTTTAGTAATGCTAATTCAAGCTCAGCCTGATTAATATGTTGTACTCTATATGGGGTGTCATTTGGAGATATCCTGATAACTGCAGTTGGTCCAAAATGTACATGTACTTGTACATCAACCTCACCATTGCAAGATAATATCTCTTCTAAAATTTCTGAATTATATCAATAGTTCAAAGTATTGATCACCACCTCTAAAGTCCTATATAGCAGGGGTCCCCAACCACCGGGCCCCGGACCGGTACCGGTCCGTGGAACATTTCCTACCGGGCCGCTGGTTTGCTGGGCGCCGCCATCTTGTTTCGATGAGAAAGTGCTTCCGAGTGAGCTTTTCCGGTTGGAAAGCGGCGTTTGGGTCCTGAAGGAATCCTCGCGCCTTAGTTTCATCGAAGGGGGGGGCTTCGAACGAAACTAAGGCGCAAGGATTCTTTCAGCACCCAAGGCAAGGTGAGCTGACTGACCGTCCCGAAGCCCATCGACAAAGGTACAAAGGAGGAGTTGAAGGTGGCGGGGAGAAGCGGGGGACGGCTGGCTGGCCGGTCGCTCGGCTCACCTTGCCTTGTCATGCGTGCTGATGCCGGTACTGGGCCGCGGATCATTTTGTGATGCCGGTACCGGGCCATGGCACAAAAAAGGTTTGGGGCCACTGCTATATAGCATACACAATGCACCTCAAACACCACCTCACCAGGATTGAATTTGCCCATCTTATATGAATATCTTAATAAGGCCACTAAGGTACCCATTTTCCCAGTCCATTGGAGATTAACAGATTGTAGACCAAATGGTAGACCTTTTCTGTTTTTTTCCCATAATCTGTGCAATTCTCTCCCCTGTGGTATTCTGAAAAACAGCCAAAAGTTCTATTTCATTCAGCTTTTTATCTTAGGTCATTGTTCAATGGGCTCCATTTTTTTAGGAGAAATATTTAGAGTTCATGAATTACTTTGTATAGTTTTATATTTCTACTCTTGAGGTATTCTGATTAGACTAAGCCTGCAAATAAATAACAAATGCAAACAATTGCTGAAATTAAGCAAGCTTCGCATTTCCTAATATAGAAATGTGAAACTTAATGGAAATAAACATTTTGATCTGGTAGTGCCACTAGTTCTCTTTATGTCTAATTAACTTCAAGAAGATTAATTTCCAAAATTGCTTAGGTTAAAAAGGACATTAAAGGAAATAATAAAGGCAATGTCCCTCAGAGATGTTATTCAGCAGGTTCTGACCAAATCTGGAGAACCGGTAGCAGAAATTTTGAGTAGTTCAGAAAACTGGCAAATACCACCTCTGACTGAAGATTTTACAGTATCTTCCCCTGCCATGCCCAACAAGCCACACCACAGAACTGGTAGTAAAAAAAATTGAATCCCTACATTAGAAGGAATAAGGTATCACTGAGCTGATCACAATAGTTTTTGAAGTCTTTATTTGAATTGATTATTCTGAAGAAATACTTGTAATACTTGTAAGAATACTTGTGAGAATATAGAGAGATTTCCACTAAAATTGAAAAATGAATTTCATATTTAATTTTAAAATTTCCAGAGGATAACAGCCAAACAATCTTTTGTAAATGTCCCTGGTAGCTTAAATAACGTCTAAGGTTTCTTGAAGGCAACAAATAGACTTAAGATATAGAAAGTCAAGAAAGAGAAAGGTATGCAATTTAAAAATCATAGCAATCATTTTTAAGAGGGCAAGTTTATACAAATCTGCTATACCCCTCACTAAATTCAATAAAAGTTTACCCCTTGCTTTTAAGAGCTTGCATAGAAAAAGCAAAAGTATTATTATGCATTTATTTCTATTTCTCCTTCATTAACTGCATTATTATTTATTCTCTCACAAAGAACAAAATGTCCACCACCTACAATTTCTGGGTTAAAAATAGTATAGAGTTGTCTGAATCATATTTCTTAAAAGCAATCCTAGGAGTAGGCCACATTGTACCTCCCTTCTTTTATCAAGAACTATGTACCTCCCTTCTTTTATCAAGAACTATAGCAAGAGTTTGATAAAAAAAAGAAAGAAAAAGAAATACCCATGCTTCTGCTTATCGGTAACTAATTTATTTTGTACTCAAGACCTAAGATGCTAAAAAAAAAAGTTAGCAACATTTTGAGCCTAACCTAACCCTAACCAAACCTGACCACAATGACAAACTATCAGTGGCATGTGTGAAGTGGGATGTAGAAGATCATTATTCTATAAACTCTAAATATGGCTTACTTGTTTAATTCAACTTATTATTTGAAAAACAAAGAAGATAAACTAACTTCCCATGTCATGAAAATTTTAGTGATATGTTGGGGCATCTACAGGGAAGGGTTTTAAAAGTCAAGATGGTGGCTGTGTTTGCCAATTGAAACTCCGCTTTTATTTTTTACATCTGTTTGTACATGCAATGCGTTTTTAAAAATGGTCAGGGTTTTGATTGCATGGTTGTACTGTCATTTTGATTTTCTGACCCCTGTGGATAGTCATGATGACCTATTTTTATCTACTTTCCATCCTTAGCCACTGCAGTCTTCAGAGCTTCCAAAAATGCAAAATGTGCATTTCAATCAATTAAAAGAATTAAAAGACAAAAATAGACATTGATCAGAATTTGAGATGCAAAATAGCTTTTGGTTATATTTAGTAATGGACTCTGAGTGCATTCAGATATAGTAATACATTGGGGGATGATGAAGCATTAGATAAGGTCTTATATCATATCCCATTATTAGTTCATTGAACACAAAGCAGCCTAGGCTGTTTCTAGATAAGACCTTTTCATGACATACTTAGCCTTTTTTCACAGAAGATCACAAGCACTGAATCTGGAGTGCTTTGTAGGCAAATGAGGAGCTTCATTGAGCTACAGAGGTGCCCTAAATAAAGGATGGAGTCATTTAAACTACCTCCATTTTTTACACCATACCAGACACTTCACAGATATTATCAAACATTTCCAAAAGAAGACAAAACCTCATTCCTTTCCTTATGCTGGAGTCTGATTCTATATGATGGTGGTGACTTCATGCTTTCAGGTCAGTCTGGACTTCTGGTGATTACATGGACAAGGCCATGTAGTTTTCATGGCAACATTTCTCAGAGCTGATTTTGAAATTGCCCAGAGAGAAAATGACTGGCCCTAAATCACCCAGTTGACTTCATGCCTAGGCAGGACTAGAACTCACAGTCTCCTGGTTTCTAGTCCAATGTCTTTAACCACTGCAACAAGCTGGTTCTCTTCTATATGATACTAAGTAGTAAACAACAGATATAGGGCTATATTTGTTTCCAGATCATAGCAGTGGATGCCTCACTGTCTACAAGGTAACTCTTGATTTGGCAAAAGGCAATGTGTTGTCATGAACATTAGTCTGATTATTGTAGTGCCACAATCTAAACTCCCAATTTTTTAGATTCTCTTGTGAACAAAGAAGAAGAACTGGTTGGGTTGGATCAATTTATTTATTTATTTTTAGTTATAGTACATTAAGAGACAGGGCATCATCCACACTATTGTTCTTTTAGGCAGTATGCTAGAAAATAAACTGCTGTGTGGCCTTAGTTGGAATACTCTACACACATGTATAGAAATAGAGTAGATATACTCAAATAGATACTATGAGCTATATATGCATGGAAGAATTGACAAAAGAATGGCAAATTTGGAATTGAGATATCCCTATTTTTTAATAATTTTGAGAAAATTATTGCCTTTTCCAAGACACTAAATAAAATATTCAGAAGGATCTTTTCTCCTATTTGTTTTTTTTAAATAGATTATAACAGAACAATACTTTCTTTTTCTTTCCAGTGCCATCAGTGAGCTTGCTTTCCCTCACTAAAAGCTTCTTAGAAAAGGCCTAATTTGATCTTAAATATAAATGAAACTAAGTTTCAGATATAATTAAGATACACAGGAAACTTGTAGGTAAATATAAGTTCCATCTACATTCAGGTTAGATTAGTTATCATCAGATATCACATTATTGTGTATATATAGTTTATGCTCTGCTAGTATTTATTATCAGTTATCTTTGCATATACAGATATTTTTAATGCTCTTAAGATAGCAAAAGACTGAGTAACAGAATTTTAACTATTGCTTTGGTGGGAAAATAATCAGCTGCACTGCATGTAGGAAATTACTGTTAATTTCCAAAGCTTCTATATAGGAAATTGAGCTTGTTTGTTTCTTATAAAAATATTGTGAGGTAAAGTTGATGATTTGTAATCATTTCCTAATATCCTCCAAGGGCCTTTTCCTGGGACATCTACCAGAATTTTGCATTGAAAGAGTTTATTTTTTAAAAAATTATGACAATTACATACATTGTGGTATATACTTCTCTGTATTTCTTAGTTAACATCCTTCTCTTCTATAAACTAGGGCTAATACGACTTACAAGTCTTGACCAAAGGCCAAATAGAATCTGACACATTCACAACGCAACAGTTGGGAAATGGCAGCATAATTCAGTTTTGCTCATGTCTTTATTAATCATAAGTAAGCAAAGTCCCAGTGTTTGGCTTAAATACTGTACTGTAATGGAAGTCTGGGTAACAGAAATAAAAATCATAGTGATTCTGTAACACCTTATACTGTTCTGTCACCCTAGACAGGTTCAAATAATATGTAATTCACCAGATATTTGGGACTCTAAAAATCCTCAATTATGCCCCACTTCATCAAGCAATTGTAGAAATTATTATCCAAAAACATATACCGTGTTTCTCATATAATAAGGCCGGGTCTTATTTTTTTTTGAGCCCCGAAAAAATGGCTAGGCTGTCTTTTCGGGGGTGACTTAATTCCCCCCCCCCTTGCATCTTTGGGTGGGCGGGCAGCGATGGCTTGAATGTTGACCTCGGCATTGGTGGGGCACTTCGTATCGGGGTCAACGCAGGCAGCACCATATCCGGGTGTTCAACAAAAGTACTTCCTAACGGCAAGCCATTCCCCCCCCATTTCACATGTTTTAATATAGGGCTTAATTTGAGGGGAGGGGCTTAATTTCATTTCATGCCTATAAAAGATGCTGGGACTTCCTATTGGGGGAGGCCGTATTGTTGGAGAAACAGGGTACATCCCCAAATATAGCAGCTGCCACATGACTTTTTTTCCAAGGTTTTTCAAGATCTGCTTAAGCCCTTGTCTGCCAGAACTGACAGCCACATAACCTATTCTAGATGACCTACAAGTCCCTTCCAACTCTGATTATCTGTAATCTTATCTATTTTGCATTGCATTGCTCATAGCTTGTTTGCCCCAGCTATTCATCCATGTGCACTGAGATCCTTGCCTAAATAAAATGATGTTCATATCACCTTTATTCTGACTTGAAACTGATAAATATTTGCCTAGATTAATTGTGTGGTTGAAGAAAGGTATAGGCCCAGATCTCCATGATCCAAGGAAAATATGTTATCCACTGGATCAACAGCTTACATCTGTTTTATTAGAACTTATGTGTATCTGATAAACAATATTCTTTGTCTGCAATATGGACTATTCTTAAGTTCAATGTTTTTTTTATTATTTCAAAACAAGGTATACCTTGTTGAATCAGATATGAGGCATATCTAGCAGAATATTCTTCCTCCATTATAACTAATCATGAAACCCACGTGTTCCACAGCAAAATACTGAGCCCATCGTTCTAATTCTGAAAATATTATATAACAATCAAGAGTAATAATCGACAGACTTATTTTTCTTTTCTATATTTTTAAGATTATTACTCTTGAAGTGTTTAGAATAGTCTCTCCCAAAACATGGGCAGTCCCTTCTCTATTGGCCTTTGGCAAGGCCATGAAGACTTGACTTTTCTCCAGGCTTTGGGACATCTAGGACATTAGAATGGGATCTGTGGTATGGGGATAGGTGTCTTGTAGTTTTGGGGTTTTTATTGAGCCTCAATGCCATTTAATTGTTTTTATTTGTTTGTTTCTTTATTTTGTTTTAATGTAATTCTGCTTTGGTTTGTTGCCTGGAGGCTCTTGGATAGACAGGTATCCATATAAATTGGATAAATAAATAAATAAATACATTTTTAAAATTATTGGAAACAAATAAATAAACATTTCAAGGTTAAAAATAATAAAAATTATCATCACAATATTTCTATCAAACCCAAGGCTTCTAAGAACTGATTCACATCACACCACTTTGCAATCAGAAATGCAATTTTATGGATTGTTAACCTTTTCTAACATTTTTATCTCTCAATCACTGCATCTCCAAATTACTTAGTAGAATTCCTCTATATAAGAAAAGACATTATGACTTATTGTAATGTATTAAAGAGAGAACTTTTAATGTTTTATCAGGAGAGTGACATTATTGAGATGAATTAAGCAAAATTTGTTTAATTTGCTCTTTTCACCTTTGTGTGCATGCCTATAGTCCACATAGTATGTTTTCTACATATTTTGGGGTTGAGAACTGAATAGACAGATACACTGCAGTGATTTTCTAACCACATAAAACACAGATTAAACGAATTTGAGACATATTTATGACCTTACATTGTCATCCCCAGTAATAATAATACTAAAGAATAGGATAATGTGTACAGGTTAGACAGCAAATTGTATTAAAATAATGGCTCAGTAAGAAGTAAATCAATGATACTGACTTTTGAGGATCCCATTCAAAATCTAAGCTTTGACTTGCTTGACAATAAACTAATAGAGGTGGAGGTACAGCAATATAGGC